AACATATATAAAGTTAAATTATTGTTTACGTCCTGATACTTGACATCTCTTCTCTGCTACTATCTTTTCTATTTCGGGAGAAATTTTACTGGCCAAGACTACTTTCAAAATTGACCCAACGTGAGCGCTATTAATACGGTTTCGGACATGAGATTTATTTCCATTCATAACAGAAAATAATTGCTCTCACTGATAAGTACTTCCAAACATGGAAATAATTTCATACACGAATTTTTGAGTATTTTCAAACCTTGTCGGTAAATATTCGTGAAATTCAGTCACACCCACTTCAATGAATTTTGCCTTCAAATTTGAGTCGCACTGAGTCTATATTTATTGAGAAAATCGAAGAAAATAAAAAAAAATTGTCTTCCAAAGAATCTTTAAACCTTGTTTCAAATTCTGTTCTAAGATTTGAAATTTTTTTATGCGTATTTTTGATATGATGCAGTATCATCTAAACTAGATTTGTTCTTGTTGCATGTTGGGAAGAGCGTTAAATCTTCATTTTTCAGTTGCCTTTCCCAAAGAAATACTTTACATTTGAATGCTTTAATTATGTCAAACATGTTCGTAACGATCTGATCCTCGCCTTGTAACAATAAATTTAAATCGGATAAGTGTTTGGTTATATCAACCGTAAAAGATAAATCTTGCAATCATATTTGATCGGAGAACAAGCTTGTATCTTGATTTATAGTTTGTAAAAACTTATATATTTTTTCTTTCAAATCCCAGAATTATTTAAGAACCTTGGAGCAAGATAACCAACTTACCTCGCTATAGTAGGATAAAATTGATTATATACTATCTAATTGATAGCTTAGTGTGAAACGGACTCCATTTCAGCCAATTTTACATTTTCGCTCGTACAATTTAAAATGATCCGTATAGTTCATAAATAAAGCATATTATAATTTTGTATCCTGGTTTCGTTTCTAATTCCCATTCCTCTTTTTTTTTTTACTTTGCTTCTAATATATTGACTGGGCCACAAAAATGCTCATCTCGGGCCGCCAGTTTAACACCCCTGCTCTAAACAATTGTTTAGTGATCATTTCTTTTTCTTGATTCCAATGATTTGCAAGATGCTTCTAAAGCAAAGATAAATGTTCTGGAATCTTTGAATTTGTTGATTTCCACCGCGTTGGACAGTGTTGACTAAAAAATGCATTACAAATGAATTTAATAAAGCTTCTCATGGTATTTGAAGAGAACATTGTCCCTTCGGGAAATAATTGTATGTATGAAGATCATCTGATGTCAATGACATGTATATCGACTGCAGCACGCATCCTTCATTATCTGCTACCAATAATAGTGATGAAACCATAAAAATGAGCAGAAAATATCGAAGGATATCCCCATGACTGATCTGCAGTTAGTAAGAATTTGCTAATTGCTTATTTGTAAACCGTAAAGCAAATAGGCAAGCAATAGTAAGTATTAAGAGCGATATTGTTGAAATTATATCTAAAAACCAGAAATAATAAAAGATTACAGAATTTTTCTAGTATATCTCGTAAGTGACAATTTTTGAAAATATACCCTAATTTAAATACTGTTAACCCTAATTTACGTAATTCCGCTTTGTGCATTAATACTAGTCTGAAGGAAAGCTTAAAATATGGGTTCTGCTGTATATGTTTATATATAAATGTGTGCGTATATATGTGTGTATCGGGTAGGGCGCGTGTGTTAATATATACATACATACAAACACGCCCTACCCTTCAATAATTGAAGACCCTTTCAATTTTTGGAACTTTTTAAAATTTCTCCAAATACTGAGATAATTATTTTATAACTTTAAAGGTCATGTGATTTCTTATTTTTATTAATAACATTTAAAGCTGTCAAAATGAGTTTTGAGTTTGAGGGACCAGCAATAAATTATGATAGAGAAACATTTTTCAGAAAAAATCTCAATAAACTTGTAACTTGTATCATTTTACATTTTTCTTATGAGCAATAATTGCAACTATTTCGGGACCCTAGCTTAAATGGAGATACTGACATTCATAGTTAGATTATATAGATGCACACACGCTCTTATTATAGAAGCACGCAGATACTCTTTCAATATTAAGTATCCACGCACACAAAAAAGGTTTACAGTGAGGGGAAAAGAAAATATAAAGCAGACAGCATAGTCATGATTTATGCCAGGTAGAAGAAAATCAGTGTTTAATTGTATGCATACTGCTCCCAAAGATATAAATATAACTGCCTTTTTTGCCCAAAGATTAGCGATCCCATTGTTAGCAGTCGAACCTACAATCAACTCATTTTTTTACAACTTTATACTTGATTACTTTATATGGATGTAATTCTATGTATATCTATTAATATTTCTCTTATGTTCTTAAGTTAATGTGCATATATATATATATATATATATAAAATATTTTGTCAAGAATAAATAAAACTGTTTTTGTATGTTTAATAAAATTATCCTATTATTAAGAATATTATAAACTTGCAGATACTTTTTATTGTGTACGCAGATACTTAATATTTTTATCTTACTATGCTGACATTTTGGTTAATAACATAGTTTTAACATTAGTTACAAATTATGCAAGTATGAAGGATTTAAAGTAGTTCTTTTATAAGCTTGAGGGAAAAATATTAAAAAATTTTTTTTTCTTAACTTTTGTAGTGAATTGTATTTAGTAATTGATAAGAAGTGTGATGAAATTTTATTAGTTCCAGTAATATTCTAAGCAGTTTTTGTACTTTAAAAAAAGGGGGGGAAGTTCTGAGTGATTAAGGGTTTTCCACAAATGTCATTACGTTCTCTTAAACAAGTGGCACTGCCATATTGGGAGAGCATTCTCGATAAGCAATTTTTTTATTTTCTTTGCTTGTTTTGTTTATAATTTACTGCAGTATCCTCAAAATCTTTGAAAGATTGAAGCTTAATTGATAAGTATGAAAAATCGTTTAACCTAAAAGTTAAAGATTTTGAACTAATCCGCATATTATTCGTTGAGAAATTTTAAAAAATGTAAAGTGTTTCTTCAATTATTTAGGGTGTGTATGTATACATATACAGTGCAAAACCTCTTATCCGAAAATCAGAAAACCAGATAAGGAATGAAATTCGGAACCGGAAATTAATTTTCTTCCATTAAAAAATTGTTTTTTTCCTGCAAGATTTTGAGCCCATTTTGTTATTTAGAGCGTACGGTGTATCGAGTTGACGAAAGAACTGATTTAGAGGACGGATCAAAAGCCGTTCGTAGACGAATCTCACATAAGCACAAATAGCTTATATATGTTATTAATGTTAATAATAACATTAATAACATATATAAGCCTGTATATAATTTTTATTTCATAATTTCTTTCCTTATTTAAACTTAAGTGTATTATTATTTATCATTTTTNTCTCTACTGTATAAATAAATTTAAATTTGCTACTTTACAGATTTAAGTGCATTACGCTTATAGAAAAGCATTGGTGAAAAAAATGTCGTTAAATGGCTGAAATAAAAATAAATTAAAATTGCTTGAAATCTTTTTTATTCATGAATTTAAATTATGTACTTGACATTAAAAATATTTTTTTTAAAAAAAATATTACCAGGACTCTGTAAATTTATAACACTATGAAGGAATTTGTAAATTGCAATTTGAACTAAACTTACATGAAGTGTAAAATGAGGTAAATAATTATAATAGCAAATGTGCCACTGTAGTGCAGGTTTCTTTGCACCACTATCAACAATATGTTGAATAAATTTCATTTCTGAAAATTCCTTCCTGGTGTTGCAATTTTTACAAACATAGTGTATTATACATTATTTCGATTAAACTTTAAAATTTATTCTTGATAGTTTCATGTTATTTTTTTTCTATTTAAAATTTTAATTTGGGTGTATCAAGAATATAATATATGAAAGTGGATTGGCTTTACATTTTAAAATACTTATAAAAATTAAATTGCTAAATATTTTAAATAAAATTCAACTTTTTTTTTAAAAAAATAACATGAATAAATTTAAACTATAATTAATTTAATTAACTGCAGGAAACAAAATATCTGTACAGGCAAAAATGTAAGATTTTTTTTCAAAATATCTATAAAGAACTGAGTTAGTTTATATTTTTTTTAATTCAAATTTAGCAACCTAAGTTATAGCATGTATAAAATCTCTTCTCTTTGCAGTAAGAACTTTTCTTTTTAAAGAAAGAATATTTTTTTTACAAGTAACTAAATGACACAAAATTCATATGCAATGATTTTGACCCAATTAAACTTATTAAAATGTGAACTCCATAAATTTTTATAGTGTTATTTTTGCCAGGAAATATGAATGTGTATAGCCAAAATAATGAAATATTTAACCTGCTTGAAATATTACCTATATTAAAATTAACCAAATTAAAATTTTTGACAATTCAATTTATTGAGATTCATACTTTCAACATTATTTTAAAAATGTCTTTAAATTTTGTAGAAATTTCTAGAATTAAATATACATTAAAAAGTTTTAATTAAATATTTTATTGAAATTAGTGAATTAATGAACTCAAGAGTCATAAAAACAAATGTAATAAAAAAATTCACTTCCTTATTATCGATAATTACTTATTTATTCAAATAATGTTTGGTTTGAACAATGAAAGTTTTGCGATAAATTTTTCAGTTGGAAACATTCAACAGTTAATATATTTCATGAAAATTAAAAATCTGTTAGTTTTTTAAACTGCAAAAGTATGGGGCTTTACTCCCCCGCTCCCTGGATACAATTTATTGTAATGATGCGACTAGGATTATTACAAATGTCCATGAAGTGTTAAATTTATATTTACTAAAATATACGGTATTTAATTTAAATGTATAGAGGAAAAAGGAAAGGAAAAAAGTGTTAAATGTATTAAGTAATTTTTGTTTTTTATTGACTGTCTGTTTAATGATATTTAACTCGAGAAGACTTAAGATTTTTGGAAAGGTTTTTTCTTGTCTAACATGTTTTATTGTATCTCTGTAGGTGTACTTCATTGCGGAATATCCGAGATAATGAAGAAAAGGATTCGGCTTTTCGTGGTATCTGCAGTATGATAAGTGTTAATCCTGGTGGCATTGTTCAAGACTTCATCTTTTTTTGTGATGCAGTTGCATCATGGGTAAATCCTAAACCTGATCTCAAAAACATGTTTTATGAGGTAAGTTTTTTTTTAAATATCGCTGCCAAAGTATCTATTTTACATTAAATGACGTATTATAATTATTTGTGTTTTCTTTTAGATTTTACATGGCTTTAAAAATCAAGTTGGTGAAGAAAATTGGACTAAATTTTGTGAACAATTCCCTCCACCTCTTAAAGAGCGTCTTACTACAAGCTATGGAGTATGAAAATAGGTAATGTGTCATTGTTTTGAAGTTTAAGCTATAATGATTTTAAATTTCATTAGATGAAGATGGTAAAAATCTAATGACCGATAAATTAAGTTAATTTTTGTAAGAATGTTCTATTTGGATAAGTTTGTTTTTTAGAGCTAAGTCCAGACGTGCCAACTCTCCCGCATTTTGCGGGAGTCTCCCGAATTTTNTATTGTACAGACATTAGTATTGAATTGGTTTTTTAAAATAAAATACTTATTCAATTTGTTTATTTTTTAAAAGTTTTTGTGTATTTTTATTACAGTGTCGGGTTTTTGAATAATGTTTTATTAAGGAAATGGTATTTATTTAAAGAGTATCTACCTAATATAGTTTTGTGTTGCTAAATCTGTGTTTAATTATTTTATTTCCATTTAATATTTTTAAACAATTATTGCTCTATTAGTGTGTAAAATTTCTTGCATTCTTATATTTAATAAATTTTTTACTTAAAATTCCTTAGAAGTGCCAAATGTTGCATACCATGCACCTTTTTTTACCCCTCCTGAAATCTCCTGAATTCTTGTTAGGGAAACTCCTGAATGTTAATTTTGCTAGGTTGGCACGTCTGAAAGTCAATTTTAGTTTTTTTTCTTCTTTTTTTTAAATATATATTCCTCTTAGTCGTCTCTTTAAATTAGTATTTGAAAATCAGTAAAACAAAGTGTTTCGATTACCTTAAAATTGTAATATTATTTAACTTTGTGGCTCAACCTCTTTCCACAGTACTAGAATCCTTTAATTTAGAAATTGCTTACTTATGAAATTTAACTTGTGAGTTTTTCGACAGTCAGCAATGTCAGAGCTTCATCACTTGCAAATTCTTACATTCGATTTAATGATGATGAAACATCCACTTTTCCTATGATCTATCTACACATCCCTTTTAGATGAAATCAAATATTTTATTATTCATTTAAAATAATTTTAATATAATAAACAATTCAATAGATACAAAAGTTTTAAAATGTGTAAATGAAGAGTTGGCCCTCAGTTATCCCTAATTAGAAAAACTTTTTAATAATATTAGATTCTTAAATTATTAAATATGTTTATATAAAATATTTTTTAATTTAATTTTTTATTATCCCTAATTTGTAGTTTGAAAGATATGTTTCAAAATTCAATTCATGTAAACTGATTTGGAGTTAATTTTGCTTTTGTATAAAGAAATATAACTAAAAGAAAGTATAAAATTTCGTATATACAGGGCTGATTGTGCTCCGTAAAAAATCCGGATTTCCGGACTTTTTGTTAACAGTGATCCGTAAGTTTCCGGAGATCGAAGGTCCAGGCGTTTAAAAAAAATCATTGATCACAGAAGTTTCCGGAAATCAAACTTTCAAAGGTTGAACTTAAAAACACAGTTTATTGTATTTGTTTGTAAGGGAGAGCCAGAGATATACTTTATAAGCTTATATTCATGGTTAATATTAATTTTTTTTATCAGTAAATAGTTGTTATAATCATAAACTCAAGAGAGAAAGACATATTTGTAAATTTTAATTACTTCTCCAGGTCATCTAGGTATGTGTAAGTGGGTACAGGTACGTGTAAAATTTTAAAAATATTTTAAGCAAACTAAGAAATATTGAGAAAAAGAAAGAATTTTTAACTCAAGAAATTTTCCGGAATTTTGACTTGGGCTCACAATCACCCCTGTATATATGATTTAATATAATTTTCAGTGCCGATAGGATGATACAAATAATTTTCAACAATTTGTTTTTAGAGAAAACAACTCATGATTTTTTAAATAAGTTGATATTTAGCTAGCATTGTGTTGGAATTTTGTTATATAAAACACAGTGTAATAACAGGTTTCCAGTGTTAACAATGTGGTAGTAATTGTGAGATATATGTAGATGTTTTAAGCTTTCGAAGGAAAAATTTATATGGGTGCAAAAATAACTCTGGAATAATTTTGTAATTCACAAATGAGAGAGATGTAAGCATTTTTCAGTAATTTTGAAGATTTTAGCTACCACTCATTTATTTTTCTAAGTCATGGGGAACCTTGAATAAAAAAAACTTAATTGATTACATCTTGCTTATAATTAAACCAATGATTAATATTTATCATAAACAAAGTGTTTGAGATATTGAAATTTACTGTACACATTTTATTATTAATTATTGAAAATTAAATAACTAAAACTAATTACTCTTAAAATGTTGAGTTTCATAATCTTAGTTATTTATGTCTGGTCAATTCTACTTAGTTTTTTTGCTGTGCCATTTGCAAAGAGTTTTCTATCAGGCTTTAAATAGAGAGAAATAATTGGTCTTTGAGATATTATATCATTATAATCTTGTGTTGAATTTCAATGTATTTAACTTAGGTGTATTTCTGTAGTTATTGGTATTAACTTAACTTGTGTATTAATTTTGTAGGCCTTATTTGAAAGACATGAACTAACTGTTGAGAAGTTCAAGGATATTTTATTCATTTTCGTTAAATGCCATTTATCTACTGCATCCTGAAGTCCTAAGTGTTAGTTCTTTCAATAAAGATTCAGCAATCTGAACTATGCTATTTTGCTTCAAGTGTTATAAAGCCTCTCCCTGAACATTGAAAATAATCCCTTAAAACAAATCACTGTTCTGAAATTCAAGTATCAAAAATGTGTTCAGTATGAGTCTCTAAGTTATGAAATATGTCCAATTTTCTTGGCTTTTTCAATATAGGCTTAGATTGCACTGATTGTATGTACTTTGTTTAACTTGTAAAAATTTATTATATTAGGAGGATGTGTACATTGGCTTTGTCTAATGTTTAATCTTTGTAGTTCATACTTGACATATTTGTGTTATTGGAGTAAGTCAAATATTACAGTCTCTAGTTAATTTATAAGTTTTATTTACTAACTTTTGAATTCTCAAGCTACCTTGTGTCCTACGAATGATGAATGAAAATTTGGTGGCATATTTTCTCCCCATTTAATTTTATACTTTTTCTTCATTCAGAAACCATCCTCTCTTTTGACATAAATTATTCTTTTGATATAGTCTCAATTTGTAAAGCCCAATTTCCAAAGGTTTTTTTTTCTTTGTGTAATTTGTGTGTGTAAATTTGTGAGAATTGTGAAGTGCCTTATTGTTATACACCCTTTAACTTCCCACAAAGTTATGATAAAAATTGGGTAGGTGGGAGGGTTTTTGGGGACTTGGGAAAGAACTCCAAATAAATTATTTTTTAAAAAGTCTAGAAAAAAAAATACTAAAAACAATCTTAATGGCATTGAGGCATCATTTATCATCATAAAAAAGTCTTTTAGGAGTACAAAAGTGATATTAGTCTTTCATTCGTCATTAAAACTCATCATCAAAAAAAATTAAACTAATAACTATCGCGTGTTAAAAATCGCGAGGCAGCTTTTTAAGAGCATTATTAACTTGTACTTATAATGTAATTTAAATGAAACGGATTGTAGGCGAACTAGTGTTCCTACCTTTAACTTGTATTATAGTGCGTTTTCTATTGCATCAAAGTTCGCGTTAAAGAAACTAATGGAAAGATGAACACGCTGCTGAGGTAAATGTGTTATACTTTCTTAAATTGTTTCACCATTATTTTAATAACAGTTTAGTCTTTTTCACTTATTCTATTTTATATGAAATCTGTTGTTTTTTGTACACTCTTTGATCAGTGTATATAATCCATATTTTTATTAAGTGTTTGTTAAAGTTAAAGAAGAAATGTTTGAAAAGAATATTTAACTTTTTCAATGTTTGTATTCTCAGCAGCTGTGAATTTATTCCAATTGTTGACATTTTTGAAAATGTTTAGGGAATTTAAACTTGTCTTTTAAATGTGAGGAGTATAAAAGAATAAATAAATAAAATGTGATATTACTCCGCGTTTGTGTACTTTTAAATGTAACTAGATTTATACAAATGATAGGACGCGCGTGTGGGAGGGCCATTAAGGCGGGTGGGTATTAAATAAAAAATACTCTTAACTCTTTTAAGTGACCCTTCAAATTTGAATTTATGCATACCTGTATTTTGATTGCATGTGATAGAGTGTATGAATGTGACTGTATCTTGTTCTTATGTATCTGTCAAGTGTTTATTAATATCAGTTATAATTTAATTTTATTTACTGACTTGTATTTAACATACATAATTAATACCAAAAGGAATATTTAGATTAAATTAGCAGTGCAATTATTGTAATAGAATACAGTACATACTTGCATCTAAGCAGACCACCCCCACAAGCACAGTTAAAAGCAGTAAAATACTGCACAGGCATACAAGTGGAATATATAAATTTGAAGCAAAAATATTTAGTTTATCTTTGGGAACTAATAAAACTCTATAATTTTTTAATAGCTTAATTAAGCAAATCTAATATTTAGAACAATTTTTCACTAAGTTTTATTGATTAAATGCTGTAAGTTAAAATTATTTTCCTTCAGTTTTCAAGTATTATTTTTAGCCTATTTTTTTCAAACCTCTTAAGTAGCAAAAATAATATTTGACTGTAATTTTATTGCAAGACACATTAAGAAATATATATATACTTATTTATTCATCATATATAAATCATTTTAAATATTATCCTAAAGTGTAAGCTATACTTTGAAAATAGTTGACTATTAAAGCAATAATCTTTACTGGAAATATTTTTATTTTTCACTATTTTATTGTATTTTTTCAATTCTAAATAATTTGTTTGAAGTATTGAAGCATTTATGTTATCTTCATATAGTGTTAAAAAAGAATTCTGTATAAATATTGTGTGAAAAATTTCCTGCGTGAAAAGTACTTCTTTTGGCATTTAGTACCAAACATTTTTTAATTACATTGCAACCTTTTTTTATTATTTAAAATTTGCAAGTCTCTCATTTCAAGTTATGGTTTAAGCCTTTTGTCAGCATTTTATTCAACAGTTTTTTATATTGAAGTCAATAAATTTATATTGTAAATAACTTTGAATTTATATAGTAAAAAATATTAAGGTATGCTTTTTTTTTCTTTATATATTTTTTTTAAATATTTATAAAATCGAATAATTTTTTATTTAGTAATTAAAATTCTATTTTAATTTATTCTAAATGCATTAAATGATGGTAGAAAAGTTATATAGTAGCAAATCGAACTTATGAACTATTATAGAATTTTTTTTTTCTCCCTAATGCCTAATTTTTCTAGGTATGAATTAACTGTGATAATGTTTTCCCTGCTAGTTTTCAAATTAATTTTATATGAAAATTCTGAATTGAATGCTTCTATGATTATTTCAAATCTAGTAATTCAGAAATAAAAATCCTATCTGTTTAAGTATTTAGTGAGTGTTTTTTTTTAATTAAGTCATCTATAAATGTATCATATTTGTTGACTTTTGGCTAATCATTGTAAAAAAATTGTTTTGTTTAATACCGCTTATTTTTTTATTGCTAAATTGTATGAACGTGTACTTATAAGAATAATGGAGGTCAAAAGTTCCTCAATTTTATTTGTTATTTAATTATTCGAATAATTTGTTTTCCATAAAATGTGTTGTTTTTTTTTGTTGTTAGGTGCAATTATTTTGCATTAAGTCATAATTTAATTAATTTAAGGTGAACATATTGACATTTGTGGATTTTTTTTTATGTATAGAGAGCTAACCATTATTTTTTTATATTTTTTTTTAAGACTGTGATTTTTCTTAACTTGTTTAACGGCTTGTTTATTTTTTATAATTTAATTTCACATTTAAGAAAAGTTAAGAGTCGAATTAGATTGTTTTATTAATACGGTGCCAAAGTTTTACTGCACAAGATTCGCATCTGAAACAGGTTTAAAAAAAAATTTTTTGTATGAAAAATAAAAGAAAAAAAAAGGAAAAATTTTAAAGCTTTCTAAAATAATGAAAATATGTATTTAAGAAGCACTTTATTAGAAAATTCTGTTTTCTTAGCTCCTAGTCATATTTTCTTTTTTTTTTCTTAAAAGAGTACATTGCCACTTGTTCAAAGCTAACATAAATAAATGCATTATAGCTAAATATTATTGTTAGTTTAGAGACTGTTGTGGGTTCCCTTTTCGTTTAAACAATTCCATTTTATTTTTAACTTGTGATATATTTAACATTTGTGAAAGAAAGTTTAAAAGAAAAAAATATTTGTCTCATAAGTAATTCTTGAATCTTAGTTTGATTTTATAATGAAACATATTCTTAATAATACATTATTTTTAGCTGTGTTTGTTTTTAGATCATTTGCTCAATGGATATCTTTTGTGTGTGGGGAACCCTGTAGGTACAAACTGTTAAATGTTTCTGTGTGTTTTCTCTCTCTTGATTTTTCAATACCTCATTCCACTCATATGGAACATAATTTCTCTCCTTTGTGAAAAGAAAAAAAAATTATTGTATGTGCCATCTCTCCTGGACACACGCTTATTCTAAATAAATGCAGTATACTTGTTCTTTTATGCTAAATAAATTTGGTGCATGAGGAAGTTTGTATTTTTGTTTTATTTGCATTACAATAATATTCAATACAATAGTATTACAATACATGGTGAGTAGCATTTTTAAAAAGTGCCTATTTTCGATTTTATGTTATTTAAAAGCCCTTAAAGGTGCTTTTAAAAAGTGCTTTATTTTCCCTTTTCAAAAATGAGATTTTTTTCCCCGTTTACTATGCCGATTTTCGCCACATATTATGCAAAAGCGTGCTTTTCTTGTTGTTCGATTCGACGTTTTCCAAATTCATTTCGGCATACCGTCGGTCCATAGCGCATAGAAGCGACAATCATTTTACATGCTTGATGAAATACTTGCGAGTCCGTATGTGCGTCTACTGAGCTGGGTTTGGTGAGATTATTGCCTTCACATGTGCTGCATTTTGCCAAATATTCTCAATTTCAGACTTCCTTTTCCACCCTCTGATATCGAACCGAAAAATCTCTCGATCATTTTATAATGGCTAATATGCTGAAGAAAAGAATTCTTTGTCAGAAATTAGTTATTTTATCATGTTCGTGTAAAGTCATTGAAAATTAATTTGCATTTTGTTAATGTATATAGTGCTTAAAAATATTATTTGAGTTCTTAAAAAATACTTAAAAGGTGCTTATTTTTTGTTGAAAGATTTGGCTAAGCACCTTACAATACGTATCTTCTAATAAGCATTTTTTGTTTTAAGTCTACAAAAGAAATTTGATAATGTATTCCAAGAAATGGTGTAATTGGGTTTTTATTTGAAATCTGGAATTAATCTTAAGCCAATTGAGTGCTTAACCTTCTTCACTAAACGTGTTTCTCTTTCAAAGAAATACAAATTCTTCCTGTGACAATTTTTCTTTATAGACTGCGACTGAAGTTGAGTAAAATCTGCTCTTGACATTTATTGGTTAGTGATGCTCTGAAAACAGCACTTCTGTTACTATGCTACCACAATGTAGACCAGAGAGCCAATAGTTGTGGTCTTGGCACTCTCCTATCGTACCTGGACTTCCTCCGTAACAACCAATAATATTATTTTTACAGAAACTAAGTGATCACAAACTACTTCCAAAATGTAGTCATTATTTAACTAAGTATAGGGGGAAAAATTTCCTGGAAAATTCAATTTGCACTCTTACAAAATTCCCATGCTAAGTAAAATAAATTCAGAACATACACAAGATAAAAATAAATTAAGCTTTCTTTATAAAGAGGCATTGAGTCAAATTTTTCATTAAAATTAGTTTAAATTTTTTTTTTTTAAAACTTATCTACTTTTGTTGAGTTGATATGTCTTAGATTTTTTATTATCATTGCTATGTAAAACATTTTTAGGTATTCTGTTATAAATTATTTTTGTTATTCAAGAAGGAAAAAAAGCTTATTTTAAAAATAATATTTAAAAAGCCATTTACATGTGTACAAATCCACTTTTCAAATCCCAAAAATTTCGGTTGGCTTAAATACTGGTAACAAAGTAGGTCATTTGTTAATCGTGAAATAGCTATGCAATCTAAACAATGAAATAGATATCTGTATCAATTTATCTCTTTCAAAAACTATTTTTAATTTATATATAATTAGCATTTCTTTTAGTAAAATTTTCTTTAAGTGTTAATTTTTTTAGAAACAATACTTTCATTTAAATTTTTTCTGAACATAATTTAAACATTTCAGAGCATACCATAAAGCTAAAAATTTTACGATTCCAGAACATCTGTTGGATACAGACCCTACTCAGCAATAGATTCTTCAGTCTGCTGTGTCACCTTTACCACTATTCAAAGAATTTGAATCAAGATTTTGCCTTGTGTCTTAGTAAACTGTTTTCTCTATATTTTGTTAGAATAATTTAAATTCTTTAAACATATTTCATTCAATTTATACCTGAAATATTTTAAAAGTATATAACGTAATTTCCCGATATCATTTGGTTTTTCAAAAGATTCTTTTAAATTTTCATTAATCTTTTTCGCTATTCAGATATCCAATTTTGTTTCGAATAACCATGTAACCTTTAATATACAATAAAAGTTTGGTTATAATTTTACAATTAACGATTTGTTTAGATTATACTTCTGTAAATACGAAAATATGACACACTGGAAGTTTTATATATATTACTTTGTGTATTATATTTTTCCTTTTATGTAGATGTAATTTTTCCCTTAGAATAAACCAGAGAAATCAGAAGACTAGTTAAAATTAAGTCATTTTGAAATGAAAATTAATTCTTTCATTTGTTTTAATTTTTTCATCCCTTGTCCTTTATCAGGAAAACTTAATTAATATGATAAATTTTGACTTTCTTTTTTTTTCCTACTTGTTTACTTTGTAAACTTTTTACCTTGCAATAAACCAGAAAAATCAGAAGACTTGATATAGATATATTACTTTGTGTATTATATTTTTCCTTTTATGTAAATGTAATTTTTCCCTTAGAGATTCTTACCAGAGAAATCAGAAGACTAGTTAAAATTAAAAGTAATTTTGAAATGAAAATTAATTCTTTCATTTGTTTTAATTTTTTCATCCCTTGTCCTTTATCAGGAAAACTTAATTAATATGATAAATTTTGACTTTCTTTTTTTTTCCTACTTGTTTACTTTGTAAACTTTTTACCTTGCAATAAACCAGAAAAATCAGAAGACTTGATATAGATATATTACTTAGTGTATTATATTTTTCCTTTTATGTAAATGTAATTTTTCCCTTAGAGATTCTTACCAGAGAAATCAGAAGACTAGTTAAAATTAAAAGTAATTTTGAAATGAAAATTAATTCTTTCATTTGTTTTAATTTTTTCATCCCTTGTCATGAAAACTTAATATGATAAATTTTGACTTTCTTTTTTTTTTCTACTTGTTTATTTTGTAAACTTTTTACCTTGGAATAAACCAGAAAAATCAGAAGACTTGATATAGATATATTACTTTGTGTATTATATTTTTCCTTTTATGTAAATGTAATTTTTCCCTTAGAGATTCTTACCAGAGAAATCAGAAGACTAGTTTAAATTAAAAGTCATTTTGAAATGAAAATTAATTCTTTTGTTTTAATTTTTTCATCCCTTGTCCTTTATCATGAAAACTTAATTAATATGATAAATTTTGACTTTCTTTTTTTTTCTACTTCTTTACTTAGTAAAATTTTTACCTTGGAATAAACCAGAAAAATCAGAAGACTTGTTAAAATTCAAAGTCTTTTTAAAATAAGATTTAATTTAAGAAATTAATATCTTTTACATCCTTCGTTTGGTTTAATTTTTATACCTTGTGCTTCAAATCTATCTCAGAATCAAAATGTAAATCACAAATTATTCTTGTTTCAATATGTTTTTGAGGAGCCAAAAACCAATTTATGTCATTATGATTAAAATGTACCTATAAAATGTATTGCTCAGCATTAACAAATTTCAAGGAGTAAAAATTTCAAAATTCATTGACTCCCCGTGTAGTAAATGGTGACTGATGCACGTTAAATCTGTCGAGTCACAAAGTCCTCCATGGTCCCATAACAAATCAAAACCTCTGGGGGTACTGATCCAGGAGTTTCCTCATCTTCTGGATTAGTTAAAAATTACAAGGCTACGGAGTTGAACATTAGTAGTCGGCTGTTCAACGACGGATGTTTAAAAAAAATTCATTTTTTCAAATTTTAATGAATTTTTTTTTCTTTTTAATTTGTTTTCTATTTATAAATATTATTTTGTTAACTAATTTGTTGCTGTGAATGTGTAGTTAATTCATCGTTAGTCGTCATAAACAACGGAAATAATTTAGGCAACTATTACAAATATAAATGTTTCGGATTTAAAATAATACAACTAATTTTAAAATATTAAATCGGGCAAAGTTTATGACTATGCATTGGCTCACCCCCCTCCCCCAGTCAAAAAAAAGTTGACACGCCACTGCAGTCGGTGATGTTTAATTACGTGCCAGTTCTTCAATATTGTACCAATACACATAGGAACGGTAAACGACTAATCATTTTAATCACTCCCAAATGCCCTGCACGAATTTCTTGTAAAACTTGTCTTTAAAATTTCTTTGGAACACAAATTCTTGAACCATAAAGTATGGAATCCCATTCTAGAGAGTATTTTACCTTTTACAACCGACCGCCATCTGTCGGTATAAAAGGATATTACTATCCATACACTACAAAAAGGTTATTATCACCTTTTAACATAACAGTTGAATTTTTTTTTTTTTTTTTTTTTTTTTNTTTTGTTTTTTTTTTTTTTTTTGATAAATGGAATCAGATACAATGTGATTGCATTATGAAAGTAAACATTTAATAATATAAATGACTTACTGCTAAGTAAGTAGATAAATAAATTGACAGAAGTAATTACAAAATGAGAAAATCACTCCTTCATATTAAAGTAAAAAATTACTAATTGCTTTATTTTCTCTCAGTTTTAACTGATTAAGCTTTCATCTATACAATTCAGTGTTCAAAATTTTGAACTATGTCATTTAAATTTGTTTTCAAGTCTTTCCGCATTGCTGCTAGTTCTGGTTTTGAAGTTTCAAGTTCAGGATTCTAAATAAAAATAAATAAATCATAAAAATAATAGAAAAATGAAATGTATTAAGTAGCATTTGATAAAATAATTTCGACTTGATGAAGTAATAAATCAGGTAACAATAAAATAATTAATAACAATAATAAATAAATTAATAACAATAAAAATATGTTTTCATTTGAATATAGTGAACTAAAATTTTTGTTCTAAAGATTCAAACAATGACTAGGTTCAAGTGAAATAATAATTTCAAATAATTAAAGCGGCTCTGGAAACAGATTATTTGATTTTCCAGATATCAGGGATGAGATTAGCCAAAAGGCAAAAAAGCTGAATTTCCACGATAGTAAATTTTACGCAAGCGCAACCCTTTAATAATAAATTCCAGACAGTTTAAGGTAATAAATAATGTGTTGACATACAATTGTGTACTAATCTATTATTATATAAATGATTACATTGATACTTAACATTTAGTGAAAATAAAAATTACCAATTGAAAAAATAAAGCTGGAAATTATATTTTTCCTCAGTTCACATAAGAGACAATTATTACTTGAAAAACTACCTGGTTTAGCAAATTAAAACTACTGAGAATATACATTAATATTTCATTTCTTTTAATAAATACTGTTATGTGATTTATAGCAAATATATCAGTAATATTACTTTTTAAATTATATTGGAAAAAAAAACTTTAACAATGGACCGAATCATTATGTTCATATTATAGTCTAATCTAACTAGAGCCCTCTGAAACATATCAATAACAGTGAAGTAGAAATATATAGTAACTCCTTAACATACAAAAATTGCTATTTTAGTTTGAAAAATTACATGACAATCAGCAACTGTTTAGATAATTGTTTTTTATTTGATAAGAATTTTGCATTTTATAGCATAAATAACAGCAATTATAAATAAAATTTTGATGATGAGTTAATTAACTCTTTTTCCCCCAAAATTTTTTTTTAATTAAATCCCTTTTTAAGTGATTGCTTTTGTTTGCTATATCTTTTATGTTTGCTATATTTAGTCGTTAGTCCATCTTCAAACATCTTGTGACAAATCCTATTTTTTCTTCTTTGCAAGCACAGAATGTAAGTTTTGAATATATTCCCTTCCAGTTTCTCTGATGTTGTAACACTTACATATACTAATAATCGTCGTTAGAAAAACAGTCACCTTTATAGTAACTAATTTTAAAAAAAAATAATTTACTTCTTACAAGAATGGATTTTGAAATCACATGAATATGAAACTATGTAGATATACGATTTTGAAAATGAGAAAATACAAACTGGGATATAGAATTTTTAAAACGCGTAAATACAAATCACGATTCATAATTTTTAGATCGCGTAAATACGAATCATGATTCATATTTTTTAGATTGCATAAATAAGAATTATGAATATTTAGAATGCGTGAATGCGAATCCCAATGCCTTATTTTAAAATCACGTATAAATACGAAAATCAATGTTTGATATTATAAACCCCATGAGCAAATCAAGACATTGAATTTTAAACTTGCGTGAATACGAATCGATACATAGGTTTTTAAAAAGGCGTAAATACGAATCACAATATCGGAGTATTAAATCTCGTAAATAAGAATCGCAACGTACAATATTCAAATCGGGTGAATATGAATCGCAACACGCAAATATGAAAAGCTATGTTTGATATTAAAATCGTGTGAATAAGATCGAGATGTTAGCCGATTCCAGGCTTGTCAGAAGCAGCGTCGTTTGAACTAAAAAAATCGGATCTATCTGGAGGGCAGGTAAAAAATTCGGAAAATCTTATCTGCTGCGAGTAAAAGGGGAGAAAATAGCTAAAATAAGTAAAAATGAGAAAGGATTGGTAGCTATGTAGTTTGAATTTTCTGTTTCTCTTTATAAATTGGTAAATTTTCTGAAGAAGCGAAATACTTAATAAAAAAAGTGAAATTTTTAGAAAATCTGAATTTTTGATAAAAAAGCTGAAATTCAAGAGATAAAAGTGAAAAAAGCGGAAAAATCTCATCCCTGAGATATTAAAAAAAAATTCCCGCTTAAATAAGTAACATATAACAAAACGTGTTTAAATCTGAGTTTTCCTTAAGTTTATTTGTATCATGTCTGATTAGATACAGCCTTTTTAAATATTAATATTGAGCAAAATACAGTGGTTAGTTATGATTATGTGAATCTGACAAAAGATATGAGGCAGTAGCTTAATTTACTTTTGCTGAATTTTACTGTTGAGCAAGTTGATAACTTCTGCTTTAACTATATTTAATAATTTAAGCAAGTTAAATAATAATTGGCTACTTGCAACTTGAGAAGAAGTGAAGTGATTGTGCCTAAACATGTGCTTTAAATCGGATTTAATTTTATACCTAATAGCGATGTCGCACGTTTGGGTCGAACCTGCTGGTCCTCTAAATCGGCAGATACTACGATTTACCTACGATGCCGTCTCTTGCAGGTATCCAATTGACGCAAAGGTATTCTGACGAAACTGCAGGTGAATAGAATCAACAAAAATCGACCAGAAAACATTTTTCTAAACAACCTTTTTCATTGATTTTTATGCATTTTACAAACTCAATGGGCTCAAAACTAATCTGTCTTCAAACACTGAAATTTAGAAACGTATTCATAGGAAAATTGATTTGTCTGAACCAAATGGAATTACAAAGTTATCGAAAGTTATATAAGTCAAAGATTTCACGGAAAGTATTTGTTATATATTCTTTGAACTTTTTTTCAAAAACTGAACAAACCTTCCTACAAAGTTAAACTAAAATAACTTTGTATCTAATAAGCAAGCAAAGAGATCCGAAAGGAACTGCAGAACCATTTTCAAGAACCCAGTCATGGTTCGTAAAGTAATTTTGTTTTTGATTTGATTATATTATAAATGAACTCACTTGGAATGCAATTGGCGCTGTATGCTTTTATAAGCTTCCTGCTGACAGTGAACTTGATTGATCTTTATATCCATCTGTTTCCTTGCAATTTCTGCAAAATTCTGTTCGATTTTAATTACTTCAGTCATCTGCAAATTATAAAACAATGAATTAGACAGGAATTCAGAACTCAGGGCAAATGAGAATTTTTTTCGTGCATGTTTGAAGGTTTGGCTTAACTCATTTTATTTTAAGAAATATGAAAGGTTCGGTTCTTAATTTTTTTAAGTATGAAAATTCATGCCGTATTGGAATTCACGCCTTATTGAAAAAAAAATGCGCCTTATTGGATTCCCCATCGGGGCGCACAATGTCTTAGAGTAGACACACCTTCAAATTCAAATCTATTTTAAATCATTAAAAGAATGTTAATTACGAAATTCAGGAACATAAAAAAGGAGAAAAGAAAAAAACAGGAGAAGAAAAGAAACAAGTGCTGGTTTGCAGGCTAAAGATAAAACAAGTTAAACAAAACCCAAAAAAAAGTTATAACTAAAAAAAGAAGCAAATTATTAGGAGTAAAAACAAAAAAAAAGTTAAAATTAAAAAGATTTGGCATTTAAAAGAATTTAATACTAAGTGCTGTTCCTTCCACTTGGATAGCAAAAACAAGCGAATTCCTTACCCTTATCCTAACAGGGCTCTAATCTCACAATTTGAATTTTAGTTTAAATTTTTAATTTGAGTTTTCTTGATATTTATTTGTACTTAACTTTTGATGATACTGTATTATTGGATTGCACAATACCTCTTAAAAAAGATAGCCATTAATGTGGTCGCTTTATTGGATTCGGAGAAATAACACTTGATAATTTTTGGAGAATGATTCTATAAATTGGTTTCTAGAAATTTTTCCGTTAAACTTTAAAGCACTAAAATGGTTTGATTTGTGGTTTTGAGAAAGTAATTTAAAACTACGCGTTTCTCAGTTTTTAGAATTTTTAACACAAAATCTTATTTTAGTTTAAATTAATGAAAACCAGTTTGGATGGAGATTAATTTTTTTTAAAACTTTGTCTGCATAAAAATAAAGATACTTATTAAAAATCTAATTTATTGACCCATTTTATACATTTGAAACTAATTGAATTGGGAGGAAGTGCTTACGTAATATTTGATCATTATTAATACCATTATTAATATCGCACTATTAATATCAGGCAGGGAAATATTTAAAAAAATCATTTAATGAATTAGTTTTCATACCTTCTTGTTTTTATTTTCAAGGATTACAATATCTTTTTTAAGTTTCTTTAAACTCGCATCTGAACTAAATTTTTCCAATTGCAGCTTTTCTCTCTCACATTTTTCTTTTTCCAACCTGAAAATAAATAGAGAAGTTTAATTATTTCAATTAAAACGCTGAAGAAAAATTGATGAATGGCGTATTTTTCTACTATGCTAAAAACTGGAATTCTTTCATTCTAAAAAGAAACATCTGCAAGATATTGGAATAAATATTTATGATATAGATTAGCTAGAGGAGATGCATGGTATAAAGATAGTTAAATTTCACTAGATTTGTGCAATAATAACCAATATGAGGGTTTTATGCATAATAAATGAGCCCCTTCATATCATATTTTTTTACAAAAACAAAAAGAATTTGGAATGCAGATATAATGCTAAATTTTTTTCTTCTATTGGCCCCATATTAGACTAAGTCAGAACTTACACAAAGTGATTAATCAAGTGTTTAATCAATCGCCAGCTTTAAAAATAGATTTAGAATCCTTTATTAAAAAAATATGAGGGACGCAAGATTGAGGTTATAAAATTAATTTGATTACAGGAGAAATTTAAGAGAAGTGAAAGACACTAACTAAAAAAATTTCCAATATCAAAAAAAAATTAAAAAATCCAACTGGTTTTAACGTTTATACCAGACGCTACAATAGTGATTTGTCATATTTCGACAATGTTTTTATTTCTCCATTAACATTAATTTATACACCTCGAATGAGTAGATATTTTTTACTTTTACTGTCTCATATATTCTTAAAATGTACAGTGAGCAAAATCAAAAAAGTGAACACAATAGTAGCTTTTGATCTAATAATAAGATGGTCATATACAAAATCACAATCTAAATAGTTGAAGCATCCCATTTTTATCATTCGATGCAGAATTTTTACTAATCATATTTTCCTTATTTTGTATTAATTTAGGTCAAAATAAGTGAAAAATATTATATCTAGCTTTTTAATAATCTATGGTTATGAAATGCAGAATGAAAAACCATTGTCTTTTTCTGCGTTATTGGTAAAATTTTTTTTAAGGTATTATATATTTATATATATAAAATTTTATTAGGTATTTTTTATTTTTATAATTAATGAAAATTAAGTCCCTAAGGTGTTCCTTTATTGTTTATTGCCGTAGAGAAAAATGTTCATTGCCCTGTGTTTCGTATTCGTTGTTTATTGCTATTTTAAAATGCTAAACTTTTTTGTCGTTTTTCTAAAAACAATTGAATTGATTTTCAAAACCTTTTTTATTATAAATTCTCTATTCTTCTTGTATGCAATCATTTTTATGGCTCAAAATGTCCTCTTTACAAATTAGTTTGCAAATTTAAGATTAAGCCACTAGCAATGAAAATTGAATCTAATACGTGAAGACCTGATTATTAGTTTAAAAGTCATTAAAGAGTCCGTTTTTAATTTCACTTCCATCGTTTGTTGCCATTTTGAATTGCTAAACTTTTTAAGACGTTTATCTAAAAACTATTGAATTGACTAGTAAAATATTGCACCAAAAAAATCGAAATCTATTCTGTATTTAAAAATTATATATTTGAAAACGGAAGCTAACTTTTGAGGCCTACATATAAATCGTATTAATGTTATTGTCGAAACATAAATGGCCGGCAACTGACCTTTTGCTAATTAAGTCATATAGATGCGCATTTCGTTTGGCATGAGAATATTGTAAATACTACTACAACTGTAAATTTAAACTGGTGAAGAAATTTTTTTTTTAAATGTGCATATCAGATAGAGGAGCAAGCTAATTTTGATATGGAGCAAAATTATCAATTTTGAACAAAAGATAAAACACCAGTTTCTCTCTGAAGCCAATCATTTCTATTTCAGACAAATCTAATTTTTAAAAAAATACAAAACTCACTTGAGTAGAGCTTCATTCAACTTATTCTCCTTCATGACTAACTGTTGTTGCAACTCAATTATTTGATTCTTTTTCTCAACAATATCAATCGTCATCTAAAAAACAAAAAGCATTCTACAAACAATGAATATTATAGACAATTGTACAGTGTGTAATATAAAAAACGGAAGAACAGCTTTTGATTCAGTTATGCTGTTTTCAAATGTTAAGATGCGATCTTTGTTTCGAAGATTTGAAAATAGTAATTACTTATTAAAGATATTTTAAATTACAAAATCTGACTCAAAAACCTGCATTGTTTAACAAAATTTTAGACATTATTTTTTTGATAAATTTAGATTTTTGTCCTGCAAAATATTGGGTTTCCAGATTCAAAGGGGTATTGGCAATCGTGAAGCGAATTCGGAGAGGAGCGGAGTTTATGGAGTCTCTTTGAGTTAATTATACTTTCAACTCTTTTTTTCCTACATCTTTGGAACTTATTTAATCCAATAAGATGATTCGTGCCCACTATTGAAAATTTTATTGTCTGAAGATAATTCCTAAGTTTACAAGCGAGTAGCGAATTCAAATGAACTTACATGAACGGGAAATTTTTCAAAATATTTTCGTAACAAGATTGCCAGATCGCAAAATATTTAAAATCATTATTAAAAAATTTCCCGTTCGTGTAAGTTCATTTGAATTCGCTACTCGCTTTATAGATTATGTTTTATTCTGTTTTCTCTTTATATTTTATTTTCTTTTTTCACGCGTTATTTTTACTTACTGTCTTCCATTTTATTTGTTGTAATTTTTGTAAAAATTTTTTGAGTGCTCCTCACACTATTGTATTGATATATTTTGCTTTGGCTATATTGATACAATATTAGAAAGCACTCTTTTTTGTGGATATAACCGTGTGGGCTAATAAAAAGATTATATATCTTTTTTTCCCGGATTTTTTAAAAAAATTTTTATCCTTTTTTTTTTTCCTTAAAAAATTTTATCCTTTTTTTTTGTAGCCCCACTTGGGGGCTACTTTGTGCAAGGTATGTTTTGACTTATTATTTGTAAATATTACATACAAATAATGCTAATATTGATCAAATTCACTCGTCTGAGTCCAGTTATGAATATAATATCGATAAATTTTACTAAAGTTTGAATTAACATAGTTTTTTTACATGTCAAAGTTCAAAAACTGCGAAATCCTGCACAAAGTAGCCCCACATGACGATACACAAACTTCTATAAATGCTAACAATATTCTATTAAAATTTTAATATTAGCTTCAGTCTTTTCTCTTAAACGTGCAGTGTTCAAAGAAATTCGAACCAATGATGTAGTCTAGTGATAGTCAAGCAAAAAACAGAACTATGATGATGATATATTTGCATTTTGGTTGCTTTTTTCTTTAAAAAACTCGTTATTCGTGTTTCGTTTTGGCCATTTTTTTTTAAATTTTTAGATTTCCCCTCTTTTTTAATCGCTTTTTTTTCTTACGAATTTTAAAATTATAAAAAAAAAAACAGTCTGATAATTACCCTTAAAAAATCTGTTAAATCATCGTAATTATATTTGCACCAAAACATAAAATCCTAAAATAGTAGTTTGGGAAACATTTATTTTTATTCATATTTAAAAAATTATCAACAATTGATTTTGTGAATTAAAAAGAAAATTAAATGATAAACAACTGTTTCCCTTAAATCTAAATAACTGCAAAAAGGGGTAAATTTGGGGAGAAAAAAAATACCACCTGGAAGACAGCCGTGTTTGGAAGATTTTACCTTTAAGGCAAAAATTGAGATTTCAAAATCACACAATACCCTCCATGTTCCCATAACAAATCAATACCTTTGGAGATACTTATCCAGGAGTTTCGTCGTCTTCTGGATTAGTTGAAAATTACAAGGATACGGAGTTGAACATTAGAAGTCGTAATCCCAAAAATTGGGTCGGCTTTTCAACGACGGTTATAAAATGAATAAAATGGTTGTAACCTAAATTAATATAAAATAGAGAAAACCTTGTGAAAAGTATGATGAATAAAAATTCTATGTCAAAGGATTGATAATATTTTTTATTTAAAGAAAATTTTGCTTGTGATTTTTTTTAATTTGTAAATTAGTATAAATTTCTCATTGTATTATGCTATTCTAAACATCCTCTAACATCAACTGTTGATTTTAAACAGTAAGTGGGCCACACACTGAGAAGGCAAACGAGACATCCGAGTGCCAGATTCCCTTACTTCAGTATTAGCATGCGCACATCTCCTCTGCGCACCCTAAAGCAAAAATATAGGAATTCGCCTTCTGCGTACTTACCGTTTTTGCTTTCTCAGTGTGCGGCCTGCCTAATGAGATAAAAGTATATTTGCTTTCGGGCAATGGGCAGTAGAATATTAAAAATCATTTAACAATGCTATTCAAGTTTGAGGTTCTTAAGGTTGTAACAAAAAATTCGTTTAATCTTCTTTATATCTTTACTAATACTATTTACAGATATTTGTTTATGTTTTATTATATTCATAAATTGCGTAGTTGACTAATAATTTCCTTATTTTTTATTTAATTTAAAAATCAAAGTTATGATTTATATTTAATTTAAATAAAGCGAATATAAAGCATTACTTAATAAAAATCTTCATTCACTTCAAAACTATGTAAATTAGAAAGAACAGTCCGCATGTTTCAAGTGCTCAAAAACAAGCGTCCATTCTTAAGACTTGGTGCCTGTTTTTGAACGCTTTAAACATGTAAACTGTTATTTCAAATTTATATACTTTTGAGGCAAATAAAGTTTTAATCGAATCACGGCTTCAGTTCTTAGAATTATTTCATATAAAACATGCTTGCGTTTTTTAAGAGTATTATTTTCACTTTAAGGTCCTTTTTTTCTAAAACTTAATTTTTTTGCATTTAAGACAGGGCATTTAGAAGAATTATTCGATTTTCCGCACATCCCAGCCTATAAATAAGCAACGATAGTTCTGTGGTTCAGGTAGTACGCTGCTACTTTGACATCGATGGCTGCTATGACCAAAGGCTGTGTGAAGCCCATCTTGATTCAGTTGGTACGAGCTAATCTGAGAAGAAAAAGTGACAGATGCGTTCCGCTGAGCACATTGTCACCATCATGCCATTGGTCTCGAAATTATAATCTTAACCACTGTGACAACTTTCGTCAACAACCGGCTGTTGTAGATGTGCATTACTTTTTACTATATGGTAGCAAGAGTCTTGATGGCTCAGAGAATAGAACGCCCGCTTATCCACCTATTATTTTGTAGTATTTTTTTTTTTTCAAATAATAGTCAAAGTTTTGAAATATGTCATTTTACGAGCTAGTATACAAAGTTCTAGCGAAATCGGTTGAATATCTGAGTTCTTTAAATGTGACGAAATACGCAAAAAGTGAAATTAACAAACAAACTTCGGATTGGTACAAGCTCCTGACAAAACTATGAAAACCATATTCATCAGATTGCTACTACCCCTTATAGCTAAGGGCTCAGAAATCCGAATCCGTTAAAAAAAAAGATATTTTTTTTTTTTTTTAAAAAGTACGTTTTTGCTGATTTTGTAACTCAAAATATCGTCAGGACTAATTAATTAGGATATTTGAGATCTCCTCAAAGGCCTGATTGAGTCCAAGAACGTGAAGATCCGGTCCTTAGATAAAAAATTATTTAGGGTGGTCCATTTTTTGGCCCTCTGTACAAGTTAACGATTGTACAAGATATTTTACATACTGTATCATACCGCATTGTTTTTCATCGTCATCAAGTTTTACATGCATGCTTTGGGTCAATAAATATATCAAGCTGTTATCCTATACTATCTGACTATCACGAGAACTGCTCCGGGAACTAGACTGGTATGCTGGTGATTGTGAATGCGGGGTGCCTTTAACTATTTTCAATTGGTTTAAGTTGGGAGAGTTGTATATTTTGTTCAACTCTCCCCCATTACGGATGGTTTCACTCTTTTTTTTCTTTCTTTTCTATAGCAGCAGAAAATCTCAGCTTTTCAGTTGGGAGGTGTTCTTCAAATAGTTGAAGAGTACTTTAGGATGTACTGGATCTTACAAAAAACAGTATTTTGTTTCAAAAATGAAAATAAAATCTTACTTCTTGATGCTTTATTTCAGGAACAGCAAGATCTCTTTTGAGTTCTTTCAATTCTAAATGTAACTTAACATTTCCTGACTGCAATTTTTGAATGTAACTTTCTTTTTCTTCCAACCTAAGAAAATAAATAATTGTCTCTAACAACTTAACAAGAAGTTTCAATTATTAACAATTTTGAGAGAGAGAAAGGATATACAGGTACAGGACAAAATAATAGGAGCACCTGTGAAAAAATGGAGCCGTCCTTCGACCGTCCAATAAACATCATCACCACTACGTGGCACGTGTCGCAAGAGTGTGCCACGTAGTACGTAGTGGTGATGAAAGGAAAGGTATCAGTCTATTCTGCCAAATGCTATTTTTTTATAGCATATGGCAGTGTGAGAGTTACAGAATCTGGGAGAGAAAAAATCTGTTCCTAGCAAAGCGAGATTATGTCCGACCTCTCTGACCTTAAAAGAGGCATGATAATTGGAGCTCGCCTCGCTGGTGTGTCCGTGTCCAGAATAGCGCACGTTGTTGGTGTTTCAAGGACCACTGTATCAAGGACTCTGTCGGCATACACAAAGCTGAGTAAGGTATCTTTTGCGAAGCACAACAGCGGCAGGAAATCGAAGTTGTCGGACCGTGATAGACGGATGTTGAAGAGAATAGTCGTTCGAAAACTCAAGACTACACTGCCGGTGATAACGTTCGAGATGAATTCCCACGTTCAGAACCCCGTATCCATGAAAACTATTCAACGGGAGTTGCATGCTGCTAACATTCATGGCAGAGTAGCTATTCCAAAACCATTAGTTTCAGCGCGGAATGCTTTGAAGAGACTACAGTGGTGCCAAGACGGCCTAAAATGGACACAACTGCAATGGAAACAAGTCATCTGGTCTGATGAATCCTCTTTTACACTATTCCATACCACCGGAGCATTAAAATTATAGATAAATTGATAAACAAAATCAATTATTGATATATTTTTTAATATTATTGAAAAAAAAAAGAAATTCTAACTATTTTTTTCGGATTTTATATTTTTGTACCAAAATAATTCCGATCATCTAACAGATTTTTTTAATAACTATTAGACTTTTTTTTTTAAATTAAAAAATGCCAAAATATCGTTTTGCTTGCAATTAGATCGTCAGAAAAAATATATTTACATAAAAGGGACACCAGTGTCCATCTGTGTAAAAGGGATATAAATGCTTATAAATTAGTACGGGTAATATTGTCAAATTCAAAATTAGGCACAAAAACGCACTTTCTTAAAGTACATCTGTAAGCTATTCTGTATTTAAAAATTATACATTTGAAAACGGAAGCTAACTTTTGAGGCCTACATATAAATTGTGTTAATGTTGTTGTCTAAGCGAAAATGGCCGGCAACCGACCTTTTACCAATTAAGTCATTAAGGAGCGCATTTCATTTGGCATGAGAGCACCACAGGAGTGAAAGAATATTGTAAATACTACTACTACTGTAAATTTAAACTGATGAAAAATTTTTTTTAAAATTTGCATATCAGATAGAGGAGCAGACTAATTTTGATATGGAGCAAAATTATCTATTTTGAACATAAGATAAAACACCAGTTTCTCCCTTAAGTCAATCATTTCTATTTCATACAAATCTAATTTTTAAAAAAATACAAAACTCACTTCAGTAGAACTTCATTCTCTTTCATGTCTAACTGTTGTTGCAAATCAATGATTTGATGGTTTTTCTCATCAATATCAATCGTCATCTAAAAAAACAGAATGCATTCTACAAACAATGAATATTATAGACAATTGTACAGTGCGTAATACAAAAAACGAAAGAACATCTTTTGATTTAGCTATGCTATTTTAAAATGCTAAGATGCGATCTTGATATTTCGAGGACTTGATATATAAAGTAATAAATCGAGTAACAACCAAAATTAATAACAATAAAAATATGTTTTCATTTGAATATAGTGAATTAAAATTTTTGTTCTAAAGATTCAAACAATGATTACGTTTAAGTGAAATAATAATTGTGAGCAACGGAGTCTATAGAATCTCTTTGAGTTAATTATAATTTAGAACTAACTTAATTTCGAACTAACTTAATCAAAACTAACTTAATTGCCTGATGAAAATTGCAAGTATTTCTAATAATTGTGTTGCAACTTCCTTCTGTCTCACTGATCAGGGAGCAGAAACCTACAAATATATTAAAATTACTGATATAAAATATTTCATAAAAATGCTATTCATTCTTAATTTATAATTAAAAAAAACAGCGACAACAATTTAATAATACCTTCTGATATAAGTGTTCCAGTTCAGCATTTTCCTCTCGAAACTCTTTTAAATTTGAAATTAATTTTAAATTTTCTGCCTGTAGCTTTGCCCTAGCATTTTCTTCCTCATCTAATCTAAAAAGGAAGAAAAGAACTAAAATTATGCTCTTCAGTTAAGTGAGACAGATGATTTCTATCAAAGATATTCCTTTTATTATATTTTACATTCTTTTTTCTGAATTATATATTTTATGTCTGCATTTCTTTGCATAAATTTACTGTTCATAAATTTTTGCATTACATTTGGCCTAGTGATATCCCTATGACCAAATAATTAAAATCTGCAACAAAATTAAATTAGGTATAATTAGAAAAATACATGCTTTTGCACTTCTTTAAATAAAATAAAATTAAAAAAGTTAACTATAAACATACAATACCATAATAATATCAATGATTATCTAATATTGAAGAAAATATTTTTTTGTCAAAATTGTCAATTTGAAGAGAATTTTTTTTTTTTCGTTCTTTAATATTTTTTAATTCAAACTTTTACTTTCTGATACTCTCAAATCTCAACAACGGAATATGTATTTATTTTTTATTTAAGGAAAACAATATATGAACCATAAGCAATAAAATCACCAAAAATATCATTTGTGATTTAAGAAAAAGCATATCAAATTAAATAAGAATTTAGGTCCATTTTTTGGACGATAAAGAAATGTGAAAATAATTCCTTTTTATAGAAAAAAATTTCTTTTTTAATACTTCTTACAATAATTAAAAATAAAATTGATTTTATAGTCGTCATTATTTATTCATAGGAGGCATTTTCAAATTTATTTGACATATACTGTCCCATACTGTTAAAAATTTTAGTTTATCTCAACGCGAAAAATGGCGGCCGTACACAACTCTTGAATCTAGAGTTTCACTTTCACTACAAAAAAATGTTACTTAGCGTATAGAATCATTTAATTAAATCATTTTTGTCATTCACTAACACTAAAATTTTTAATTACAGTAAACGTACACATAGGAGTCAGTAAATTTATTTTTACAATGCAAAATAAATTAAGAACAGTGAATTTAGAATATCATCAGTTTTTATAGTAAAATTAGCTTATAAATCCCTCATACGCGTAGCACAGAGAGAATTTTAAGAATTCGAAATAAGCTTAACTTAACAGAAGCGAATAGAAATTAAACATGATAAAACTACTTAACACAGTTTAAAGATATTTAAAAAATTAATATATAACTATCGTTGTTACACAACTAAAAACAGGGGTGAATCGTCCAGACATTTTGTGAAAGGTCCATTTTTGTAAAATTGTGAAAAAATTACTCGTTATTTGTGAATATAAACTAAACGTTAAATCACATTCATTCAACCAGGGTCCGCTTTTGTGAATTTGTGCAAATAGGGTCCGTTATTGCAAAAAAACACTTTTTCAAGGAATTTTTAAATTGTAAAGACATACAAGATTATGCTTAAAACTGTAAAATTATAATTAAAAAAATTAAAATTTAAAAAATAAACAGCAATTGGAGCTACTAAATTAGTGATGCAACATATAAATATTTGGTATTTATACTGCAGAACGCAGAATATTCATTTCGGACGAATAAAGGAAGAAGCATATGCCGAAGACAAAACTTAATTCGTTTACATCCATCTTTCTTGTTTTCTGCCCTGGGAAGGGTTTATTCGATTAACAAAACAATAATGTAGATAAAAAAATTTGTGAAGGGTCCGATTAAAAGATAATTTATTTTGTGAAGGGTCCGCTTCTAAGTTAAAATATTTTGTGAAGGGACCGTTTTTATGAAAAGATATTTTGTGACGGGTCCGTTAACGGACCCAAATTTCTTCTAAACAGACTTCTACCTTCATATTTAAACTGCGAATTTTCGTTTCTGTATTCATAATCGTTTCTGTATATCAGCGTATGAAACAACACACTCTCGTCGAATGTTGGATTTCAGATTAACAACTGGCGAAAGCGATACTCAAAGTGTATCAGAATGAGTGTTTTCAAAAGTGAAAATAATTTTCGCTTGCTGTGGAAGCCCGAGAGTTTGGTGTAAGGGTTAAGTGTTTTGATTTAAATTAAGTCATTTAAATCCTATATGACCTCTGGATTTAGTGAAAACCTGGAATAAATTGTTCCTTCGCACGATTTTTAGGTTTATTCAGGATCATATTTAGAGAGATACTACACCACTGTTTTTACAGTGCAGAAGATAAAATTTTTAACGTCCGCTCTGAGTAGATGATGTTACACTGATTAAGAGTAGCCTTTTTTTCTAAGCAACATACGTCAGAGCCGTGGTGGCTCAGGGGATATAGCGTTCGCCCTCCGATGAGGTGAACTGGGTTCGAATCCCAGCAATGGCAGGTCAATAAGAATTCCGCATCCGGCTTGCATCGACCACAGTGCTGACATGAAATATCCTTAGTGGTAGACGGATCAGGGATTAGAGTCTCCTTTCCGTCAGGCCTACTGTGGGAGGTTCTAGTGGTCATTCCTCTCCATGTAACGCAAACGCGGGTTAGTTCCATCAAAAAGTCCACTACGAAGGCAAAATTTCTCCCAATACGGTTCGGGCTCAAAATTACAAGGTAATAATGCAAATATTAAATTACAAGGTCAAAGAACCTAGTAGAGCTAAGATCAAGATGTATGCGATTTTTAACTCTAAAATAAGCAAAGAATAGTAATATAACTAAAATAAAAAAGAGTGAATGCAATTTTCAAACATGAAAAATATGATTGATGAATATATTGAACCTTTTCAAAAGAAATTTTGAAAGGTTTTGATTTACACAGATAACTCTGAGTTATTAATGAAGGTGCAAAATGCTCGTCAGATTCTCGATAATGGTAAGTAATCCATTTCACAACTCACTTGACTACAGATTACACCCAGAACCTCCTGGATTGAGAAATGGTCCGGTCTATGAATGCCTTCATTCATAGAGAGTTCATGATGTATCATGATTATTGAGCTGCTGTAACAATAAAAAAAAATGAAGTTTGAATAGTTTTTCGGGAGTAGTAGAGCGCCGATTATCCGAACGTCCAATTATCCGAACCATGTCCGAATTCGCTTCTTCTTCTCACTCTCTCTCTCTCCTTTTTTTTTTTTAAAGTTTAGAATACTTTTTAACTTATCTAATTTTCTAAATTTAGAAGAACAAATAATATTTACTACATCTGAAGATCATATTTAATTTACAACCTTTTTTAGCAGTTTTCTTACAGTAGCCAATACATACATGTACATACATACAGTTAAACCTACATACCCCTTTAGCAATCTTCAGCTGAAAATTATCTTCCAAGAACGCGAGCTTCATATTGACAGTCTACAATGGTTGAAATGAGGAAGGAGTTTATGAATGGATATGTGCTGAAGTTCTACAATTGGGGGATGGCTACTTGTCACTTATGGTTAATGATTAGTGATTACTGTGCCTGGAATCTTAAATCTTGAAATAAAATTCTTAACAAAAAAATAAACGAAATTGAAGTTTCTGAACCAGTAGATTTTCCCGATGAAAAGATGCCAGGTTATACAGCAGAAGAAATAGAAGATTGGTGTCGAGACACTGAAAACGACCCAGGATTTCAAGTTTTAAATGATGATGAAATTGTTGCTGAAATTTTGAATGAAAATCGGAACTCCACAGACGAAGAGGTAGGTGATCAAATTCAAGATAGTGGACCTTCTCATGTAGAAGCATGCAATCCATTAGATATTGCAATGAACTGGCTAAAACGTCAAAATGATGTTGATCCAGTTCAGTTGTTATTTAAAGAGAATAAGGGATATGGCTGCTCGAAAAAGAGCATCTTCTTTGAAAAAGTCTTTGATGGATTTCTCTTGCAATGGAAAATAAAGAAAATATGCAATTGATAAAAAAAAATTATAAAAAGCTGAAATATGATAAAAATAATTTAAAATAAAAAAAAAAGTTTAAAAAAAATATATAAAAAATATTTAAAAATTGAAAAAAAAAAAAAAAGCAACTTTTAAACACGCCAGAGCTATTTTAGATAGTACTATCAGTCCTGAGCCTAGAAAAAGTGTGAAATGAAGTTAGTGCACAAATAATAATCATTTACATTAGATTTTAAACAACTTTCCAGTTATCCGAACTTTTCGTTATCCGAACCACGTTCGGTCCCGAGTAGTTCGGATAATCGGCGCTCTACTATTTGTTATCGATTGGTTTGTTGGTACCGGCTTTTTTTTAAAGCGCAAAAATGTCTAACACCTGTTTTTTGGAGTGATTTTCTGGGAATTAAAAATAAAAATGAAACAAATTTTGGTCATTATATTGGAATGAAGTTCGGACGTTCCAAAGGGCGTTAAAATAACATTGCATTTATGGTACAACAAACTGGACTTCAAGTAGCGGTCGTTATAATGAAAGGGTTGCACCAAGGAGCATACATTGTATAAATTAATGCATACTTCTCACTCAGAACTTGCAACGCCTTTATCAAAGAAGCTGATTTTCTTTCTAAAAGAGCAGTTTCTTTCCTTGAATATAAAAGCTCTTCTGTTAATGTTTCCAATTCCTGAAAGGAAAAAAATAGAGTATGAAATGATGGCAGAAAATAAACTTAAACTTAGAAATATACATTGTATATGTATACTAAGTATATGTATAATATACATATGTTTGTATGGTATATACATTATCCTACAATAATTGGAAATACACTTTCAGTTTTTGACATTTTTTGACAAGAGGTATTTAGATCATTCAATTTCTCATACTTATCAATAAAATTTAAAGTTTTCAGAGGTTTGAGCAACCGGTAATAAATTTGGAACGAAAAAAAAAGTGATTTGGAATACTTTTTGTCAAAAGTTATAATTAAATTGTAACTTGTATTGATTACTTTATGCAATTATATGCAATAATTGCTTACAATTTTGTAAGCCTATACTCAAATGTTAATGGAAATACGGACATTTTTATGAAAAACTATTTTTTTTACCTCACGTTTTTATGAAATTTAAAAAAACATACTATAAGATTTAAGCAAAATTATTATTTTAAAAATTAAAAAAAAAAACTTGGTTAAAATTGCTTGAGATCTGAGCATTTAAATTAATTCTGCGCATTCGTCGAAAACATTAAAAAAACTTCTGAATTTTGTAATCTATCGTATTTGGCATTTAATGAAAAATCCGATTTGAATATCTTGAGAATTTAATAAGTCTCAGGCAAGTAAGTAGTTTTTGTAATTGTTACAAGAAAGCTCCAGATGGTACGAGATTTTCCACAATTTTATTTTGTATCACAAAACAAATTTAATATCGAATGATAATACATTACAACAATACACCAAAAGGCGACGGTATAAATAAATAAAGCATGTAAGAGAAACTATACTTCTATGAGGTATGCTCCTCTATAATGCTAGTGTCATTTTTAATAAATCTGTTTCAATACCACAAAATGACATTTGTGGAAAACCCCTTATTCTAGCGATCTTTCTTCGAAAAAGAACAAAAACTGTTTTAAAAAATGTAAGAAATTTTTTGAATTTTCATTATATTCAAATTGGATTTTTTTTTCTCTCCATTAGCTATTAAATACAATACTGAACGAAATTATGAATTTTTTTTAAAAAATGTTTCCCACGAATGCGCAATAAAAAAAATAATAAAAACTTTAATCTTGCCCATTTTGTTAAAAATATTCACATTTTAAAATGATAACTTGGTTACGAATTAGAAATATATACAAAATTTTTATTTAGTTTTATTAAATAGTTTAAAGTTATGGCTAAAAAATTGTTGCAAAAAGATTAATTCTATGTAAAAATTTCCGTACCAATATAAATATGTAAGGTTAGGCTTTCTAAATTTTATGCAATTATTGCATATAATAACCAAATTGATAGATATAAATTACAAATTTATGGCTCTATCTTTCGATATAGATCGTTCAAAAAGTTTTTTTTCTCTCTCTCTTTGCTTTCGTAATTTATTGTCTGTCTTTCAAATCTTTGAAACCTTTAAAATTAATTGACAACAATAAGGAAGGGCATGACCTATAGACTTCTAAAGTCATAAGATGTGTAAATGTGTTTTTAAGTATTTCTTGAGAAATTTTTTAAAAAAATGACAAAAACTGAAAGTGTCTATTACATTCAGTATTGTAAGGCTAAGCATATAATACAAACATTTTATTTAATTTTATAACCGTTACTGAATAGTCGACCCAATTTTTAGGTTTACGACTACTAGTCTTCAGCTATGTAGCCTTGTAATTTTGAGCACTATTCAGAAGACAAAGGAACTCCTAGATCAAGTATAGGGAGAAATTTGTCTTCGTGGAGGATGTTTTAATGGAACTACCCGCATTTGCGTTACATGGAGAGGAAGACCTCGAGAACCTCCCATGATTAGTCTGACGGCAAGGGTACTCTAACGCATGATTCGTCTACCACTGAGAATATTTCATGTCAGCACTTTGGTCGGTGCAAGCCGGATGCGCAAACGATCACTGGGACCCGAACCCGGTTCTAGCCCTTGGAAAGAGAACGCTCAACCCCCTGAGCCATCGTGACTCATGTTACACATATGTAAATTATACTTATGTATATTATATATATATATATATAAGTTCAAAATG